TAGTACGGTATATCACATGTTTACAAGAAAGAAAAACAAAAGAATCATTAAGAAAAAAGATTTGAAAGCATAATTAAAGTACAAATGTATTGAAATAAATCGCAGGAGACTGATTATTATATCAGTTGTAGAAGATGTTAAAATTGCAAACACCTGGCTTGTGAATTATATTTGATACTGTCCTCTCTCAGTTACACTGTTTAAATCACTTATTGTCCATCTATTGTCCATATCAATCGGTGCAATACCATGCAATTTCAACTTTAAGGGCGGGAAAGGGGGCATCTTAGTTTGTTTTTGCACACCTTCAGCCGGAAAAAAAGGACCAAACTAAAAAATAATTATTTCATATCTTTCGGAATTATCTTTTATATATCTATGAATGGGGTTTCATCCTAAACACGCATGCAATATTTGCCACTGAACGTTTAGCAACCAACAATCAATCAATCACATGGGATGCTAGGACTTAAATCCTTTTTAACTACACAGGTGTAAACACGGCCATGTAATCGAATTTTTATGATGAAACTAAACCATTTTCCTTCTGTGACTGATCTTGGTCAGAAAAAACAACACTCAGGAAAACATTTAAAATAACCTTAATTTAAAGAATACATGAATTTGTTTTGTCACCCAAGTGTAGGGTTGTATGCACAATAAAGGCGTTTTGATACTGACTCTCATCAGCAAGAATACTAAGCAAGTCCGTTAAGGCGAGCTGATGAAGTAACAATAAGTATCATACAATAAAATGTCATTATTCTTTTTATCAGTAATTTGTCTTAGCTGAATATCTTTTTTTTGTTGAGAATATGAAATAAAATGAAATAGTTAATTATATTATTTTTCGTGAACAATACGTTGTGATAGTTGTATGAATGAAGTCGAGTGCATTACATTGATAGATTGAAGCGCATAGACAAAAACATGCGCGTATTGCTCCACGGATACATGACGATATTGTCTAATATTTTCGAGAATCAGGTCCTGTCCATGATCTAAAAGTATAAGGAAGTAAGATCAAAACGGTGAATTGTACAAATTGCACTCTTACTTGAATGACGAAATAAAAGACAACGTGCTGTTTTTTTATGGTCTAGCTTCAATCGAATTCCAACAGTTAAAGACAGTACACGTGACGAGCAAAGACCCGTAAACAATGTTACCACAGTACTCCATTTTCCATGCATACGACATATATTCTATGTTCTAGCTAGGAAAAGGGAAAGTTTTTCGCACGAAAAAATGTGTTTCTCCAAACGATGGTCAAGCAAGGCAAAGTGAAAGTTTTTTCGCACCGAAACACTGGTTTGCTAAACAATGGTCCAGCTAGGGAAAAGGGAATTTGTTCGCACGTAAAACTTGCATTGCACAAGGTCATGTTTTTCTCTGACTGTTAATGACGTTTTTACACTAAATCCATTGGATGTTGGATGTGTACCGATTGATATTTTAATTAAGATACATGATTTGTTTTATTAGTTGTTTTTGGCTTTGAACTAGCTGTCAGTAACTGCGAGTACTCTCAGATCTGTACTCAGTATCTTTTTGTTTTTGGGATGTATAAGTACACGTTCACGTCTACTTTGTGTTTTTGTTTGATGTATTTCTATTTGTATCCATCTGATGAATTAAGCCTTTTCAACGTTTTTTCTTATATTGTACTGTTACACCACTGTCCCAGGTTAGGGGGATGGTTGAGGGCTCACAAACATGTTTAACCCCGCCACATTCTTTATGTGCCTGTCCCAAGTCAGGAGCCTGTAGTTCATTGGTTGTCGTTAGTTCATGTTTGTCCTTTTTTTTCGTAAATTGTTTTGTTATAAATTAGGCCGTTAGTTTTCTCAATTGTTTCATATTTTTCATGTCGGGAACTTTAAAGGCCGACCATACTATATGGGTTTTTGCTCATTGTTGAAGGCCCTACGGTTGACCGTAATTTTTTACATCCACATCCACTTCATTTGAACTTTGGTGGATAGTTGTCTCATTTGCAATCATACCTCATCTCCTTATTTTTATAAAGGAGACGTTTGTTCGTATGTCAAACTGGTTGTAACCTAACAACCTTTATTGGACTATGTTATATGAACCTTGGACCATGTATTGTTCATTGTTGTTCTTCACTGTTTGTGTTTACATTTGACGGTTGTTAAATTAGTGTGATCTGTTTACTTGTTATCCTGTCTATATGTTCTCTGTTTTATTTCTTAAGTTTTAAACTAAATTGAAGCATGTTAACAATTTTATAAGACATCTTTTATCCATCGAACTTTACAATAGCTATCACAGTTTTTTTATTCGCGTAGTCCCCCAATGAGTAGCGTGACAGCACGTAAAATATGCAGAATTTGCAATATTTATTGATTAGAGCAAGAACACATATACAATCGTTGACAATAAGTTGAAATGTTAAAGAAACAAGGAGTTGATGTCCTTAGCACCTATCAGTATCTGCAATCGTTCTTTACTGAGGTCCTGAACATGCATGAGATATTTGCCACTGATATAAACAAGCAAAAATTAATCAACCATTTGATGAGGTATCAACACATATTTGTTGTTCTCTCTTGTGTTTGAGGTATTTTTATACTTTTATCATACAGGTAAGTGATTTTCATTTCTGTAATAAGTTGTTTGTATGTTTACATACTTTTTTTAGTTTAAAGATCTAGTTAAGAAAAGGGAAGGATGGATATTAAACAATTCTTACACTGCCACATATGTTTACCTCTCAAAAGTCATGAACATTGTTAGTGCACTGTGGCTATATTTTGTTACATCGTTATGTTTGTTTTTTTCAATTCTTTTGTTATTTGGAGAAATAAGTGTTGATGGTCAATGTTAAATTCATTTTATGATTTTCGCCTATGGGCCTTTTAGAGGTTGATATAATGAATATACACCTTTGCTATTGTTGATGACTGTAATACAACGTCTCTACATATTTAAAGTCATATTTTTCATCCGGTCTTTGCTCTGTAATATCCGTTCGACGTCACCTGATAAACACATTTATTGGAGCACAGTCCTGTTGGAATTATCTGATTTTATTCAGATTGAACTCATTTATTTCGTTTTGGATCACCACTCCTTTTTCGTATTTTTCTTTTGCCAATGAACATGATTGTCCTGTAGGTACATTGTATTTATGGCATGATTATTTTTTTCCTTCTTCTATCCCCTTTTTAATATCATCTTAATATCTTTTTTATAAAGCACATGGTATATACCATTAGTTCATAATTGAATAAAAACATAAACTTTCTAAATATACGGTATGGATTTTGCTCATTGTTGAAGGCCTGTAGTTGCAAACATCAAACTCTTTTGGTCTCTGGTAGATAATTGTGTAACGGTGCGGATCTGAGAAAGTCGGAAGACAGAAAGACAACACTTAGAATGGCCACATGCTAACAAAATATGTAGCACGATAAAGTTGGTTTCACTAGCAATTTGTCTATATTTCCTTATTTTCTTTGCTGAAAACAATAAGATACAGTCTTCGGTTAATATTTTTCGAAATTGATAACTTTGTTAAAAATGAAGTAAAAGATTTCATTGGACTAAGAGTGTACACATAAATTTTTCAGTGTTTTAGGGATAGATAAAATTTATTATATTCTTGCAGTGTTTTTCAGTGTTTTAGGGATAGATTAAATTAATTATATCTTTGCAGTCACCATCTTCAAACCGCTGAGGTTTGCATATTTTTAGAAATGAATGACTTTGCCAAACTTTAGTTGAATATCACATCGAAACATGGATAGAAGCTTCTTCATTATCAAGAAATAGAATCTGAAAAAATTGTTAATACTATTTGAACTTTATTTTACCGACGATGACAAGAGCCATAGCAGGGAAAACGCTTGGATCTACGGGACCCATTATGATTATTTAATGATTTTTACTTTTAAAAAGTATCAAAATATCAGTAGGATGCACACAAAAAACCTAAACAGACAAGAAATCTTTCCCGGAATATGTTAAGATATTACATTTAAAAAATCGAACTTAAAAGGCTGATATAATTTTTCCGTGTTTTACGGGCAGGTTTATGCAGTCAACATCTTCAAACCGTTTTGTATATTATAAGATATAAATGACTTGTCAAACTTGAATGGAATATCATATCGAAACATGGATAGAAGCTTCTTCATCATCAAGAAATAGCGTCTGAATAAAAAAATACTATTTTTTTTTAATTTAATTTTACCGACAATGACAAGAGCCATAGCAGGGAAAACGCTGGGGTCTACGGGACCCATTATCATTTTTTACTGATTTTTATTTGAAAAGTATAAAAATATCAATAGCATACACACAAACCAAAACAGACAAGAAATCTTTACTCTCCTTAATATTAATTCCATGGAACTATCTAATTGTATTAGTTAAAGATGGATTAACGTTTAAAAACAAACAATTGTTTATTTCCCTCCAAAATGACGGGTATACAGTTTTTCCACACGTTGTGTTTCCTGGAATAGTGATACATATATGGTTGTGTTGTTTGGAAGTAGATTATGCGGTACAACAAGAACGAAATAAAGAGAACAGTTGCATTTACGGTGTTTGATTGCGATACTATTCCCCTCCAAGAACTCGTACAAACAGATGTGTAACACCCTCTGCTTCCAAGAGAAATGAAATATTTAATTGTTTCTGTTGCAGTCTCGGGCATCACAGATAGATTATGATTTGTAAATATGTCAATAAGAAGATTTGAATTCTAGATTGTGTTATTTTCCGGTATAAACTCTTAATTCGTTTCCTTAAAAACATATGAGTCATACCTGAGACTACTATAACACATGTCATACGGACTATCAACAGTGGAAAAAATACAAATTATAAATTTTTTTTAAAATCCAGTAAGAAACTCATGTACTTACATTATTATTAAAAGTATGTTTTTAACAAACACTAGTTTAACGGTTTAAAATATCCCGCTTTTAAATTTTATTCATATCGAATTTACTTACCTATGACGATAAACACGGTAGACAACATTAACGACGTGTGTCAGGACAAATACATGAACAAGCAGGTAACAAATAACAGGTAAACTGGTTTTGCGCAGACACATTATTGTTTCATTACTCCTGTGGTTTTTTTGATTTTCTGATAACGGGTGACAATCGTAAATGTTAATTTAATAAAAACTGTGAAATAAATAACTTGAGATAGTGTAAAATTGTGTGATGTAAACAACTTCCTTGTTTGACAAATCTCGTTTCCACAATAAATCACAATAATTTTCTTTTCCCGAATTCATTATACATTCTAAGTATTTCTAGAAGTACTTATATATACTTCACCGATATTTGATCTCAAAATTCGTGTAAATTCGCTAAAAATAACTGTGCTGGTACTGTGCTGGTGATGAGAAAAATGTCCTGGTACTCTGTATCTGTGTCATTATTCTGTGCGCGACTAAGATTGATGTAATATGCTCTTTTTATTATAATCTCTTTATTCAGCACCAATTATACCGATAAGAGGATCAAAGACATACATGAATTAATATTCAAATTACAATTAAAAAAACCATCATCATGTCACTAAAATAAAAGAGAAAACAAATAAAATATTGAACACACGACACAACAAATGACCTCAAGTGTCGCCTGAGCTTAGTTCCATACACTGTTTTATAAAGGAGCATACATTTTCACATATTGGGTAGTAATTAGATTTAGATATGTTTTATTTTATTGTTAAACAAATCTTTGATTTCAATTTTCAAATCATTAAAAAAAGAAATGTCTTACATAATCATTCCTTTCGCAAAATAAAAAAAGAAATGAGATTGATCATTCAGAACTTTGCTATTTACAAAATCTTTGATAGTGTGGAATATTTCTATAGATTCCAGCTTTAATAGCAGAGGAATTATAACTTATTTATTGCCTCTGAAATAATTATTTTTATGGAATTTCGCAGTTATTAGTTATTTTCTTGAACACTATTACAGATTAACAGAAATTTTATAAACAGTAAAAATGTTCAGCAAAGTAAGATCTACCAATAGGTTCTCGTAAATTTATCCCTAATAGCGGTTATTGCCCTTAAAAAAACTTATTTTTATTACTTTTTTTTAAGTCTTGTCAGAAACTATGATAAAAGGACAACAACTTTGATTGCAAACATGTTCAGCAAAGTAAGACCTACAAATAAGTCAAGTTCGAAATTTTCAATTAAACCCTTGTAGGATTTATTTACCTTTAATGACTATTTTTTTTCTTCATTTTTCTTTCGAATTTAGCAGAAACTATGATAGATATAGAGAAATTTCAAACACCAAAAATGTTCAGCAAAGTAAGTCCTACAAATGAGGCAAATAACCAAAATATTAAATAGTTATTGCCATTAAAAGATGATTTTTACCAATTTGTTTTTATTTTTTGCAGAAACTATGGTAGATAGAGAGAAAGTTTAAATGGAATGTTTAAACAGGCATTCAATATACACTAAACAGCAAAATAATCATCTACAAAAAAATTCCGGGTGAGCGATTCAGGGTCTTTAGAGCCCCTTATTTACTCTGATTGTTACAGGCTCAGTATTTGTTTTTAAATTCATCTTTGGGTTTGCTTATATTATTATCGGAAGTAATATGATTTACATATGAATATTATGAGTATATCTTGATTATGAAATGACTTTGAAAGCAAAAAAATATTTTGTAAGTACATCAAGTGAGTTTTCACTCAAAGGATAGTCTTAAAACAACACCAATTTCGATCTGGAAGCAATGTTTCTGACACAATTATTTATTCAACCAAGTGTATATTTAAAGAACTTGTTGTGGATTTTTTCACTTGGTCTCGTATCTCAATTCATACGTTATGCTCGTGCATGTTCACACTATACTGACTTCATATACAGGAGTGTGCTCCTTACGAAGAAACTGCTCCAACAGAGATATGAGGAGGAAAGATTAAAAATGACACTCCGTAAATTTTATGGACACCATCACAAATTGTTTGATCTATACGACGTGTCTGTGTCTTAACTAACTAATGTCATTTTTACCACGTCTTAGATTGTGGTTTAACATCTATGTCGTCTGTCTGCTAAGTACCGAACGTGACCTATTCCCGAATATGACTGTTATACCGAGAGTGAATTTATACATTACTATACGACGTGTCTCGGTATTTTGTACATCCAACATTCATGTATTTATTTTTGATGTTTTTGTTATGGTTTCTATTGAATAATGTGTTACTAGTATGTCGTATCGTTTGTTGTCCAAATAATTATAAAATTGCCTTTCAATACCATCATTGTCATATTCCCGAATATGACTGTTATACTGAATGTGAATGTGCATTGCTGTGAGGCGTGTCTCGGTGTTATTTACATCCAACATCAATGGATTTATTTTGATGTTTCTGTTATGGTTTCGGTTGGATAATCTGTTATGTCTTATCGTTTGTAGTCCAAATAATTATAAAATTGCCTTTCCATACCATCATTGGCATGTAAATTGTTTGGACGAATATTGTGACAATAATTGTATAATGTTCGAGATTGCATGTTAGTTACGTAAGCGCGTCACTGTTTTTGATATTCTATGGTGTTTTTCTTTGATGGAATATGTTCGTTGTTGTTCTGTGGTTTGCATGTTGTGTCGACTAATATATTATTTGTTTGTGCGTTTCTCTGTTATGAATGTTCTTGCGTGTGTATGTGCTGTATTTCTGTCACGTAGTGTTTTAGCGATATTTATTAACATTGTCATAAAGCTTGAGGTTTGGCATGCCATAAAACCAGGTTCAACCCACCCTTTTTTGTTCTTCAAATGTCCTGTACCAAGTCAGGAATATGGCAGTTGTTATCAAATAGTTCGTTTCTATGTGTGTTGGCGTTTGTTTTTGTTGCACTTCGGTGTTCCTGTTGTTAATTTGTTTTCCTCTTATAGTTGTTGTGTTTCCCTCGGTTTTGGTTTGTAACCCGGATTTGTTTTCTCTCAATCGATTTATGACTTTTGAACACCGTATACTACTGTTGCCTTTATCCATTATACTGACGTGATCCAAAGGATAAGGTTTTTTCTGGCTCTAGCAATTGCATTATTGTATGATCTGTACACATCCATATATCAGATTTCACGATCATATGTACGAATAGGACGAACCAATAAGAACACGAGCATATAAATTTGCTGGCAATTCGTCCGACTACTGGAATAGTTGTTGATAGAGTACATACCTTTAAATTCATTTACTGATTCTAAAACAGTGTGCTTGTTATTAAATATTGTATTTTGTAAATTTTTTGAAGAACTTCGTGGTGGGTTTTTTGTTATTCTATATAAATTAATTGAGAATGCTATTTTGTAAATTTTTTGAAGAACTTCGTTGTAGGTGTGTTTGTTATTCTGTATAAATTGATTGAGAATGCTATATGTATACATTGTTTTTAATGCAGCAAACCTCTTTAAAAACGTAGCTAATATTGTCCATTAATAAATAAATGAATAAAAATCTAGGTGGACTTCGATATGCTGAGTCTAACCGTGTACTTAGATTTAGGATATTGGACCATAATAGGTAAAAGTCCAATTTCATTTTTTTCAGTTCTTTGACCCCATTCATACTGTGTCAGAAACCAATGCTGTGTCAAACATTTAACCAAGATCCACATTCAGAGCTGTACTTGCCCCAACTGCTCAGGGTTCGACCTCTACGGTCGTATCAAGCTGCGCCCCGCAGAGCATTTTATTCCAATAAAAATTTATCTTAATCGGTAGACGCATGACCATCGAAACAACCGTGCAAAGTACGTGTACAACAATGTACCCTATGTATATGCCTAATGCTCATAGAAAATAAAACATACAAACATCTAGATACTATAAAACAAATTAATTCTTTAATTCAGTTTGATTCAAAATCAATTAAAGATATGATATATGGCCCTAAAATACATAGGAATTTCATGTTTAAAGGAGGAGGGGTTCCAGTAAGATAATAAAAAAAAAGATGTAACCTTCATGCAGACAATAGTACATTTTCGGATACATCGATTATAAGCAATTGTTTGGCACAAAAATTGATCAAATCAAAGTTGATAACGTTTTAGTTTCCTGGATCTCAGACACATCCGTTAAAAAATGAAGAAAAGCCGATAATAAAGGTAAAATCATAGCCAAACTTGAGTGAAAATAAGATCCTCTAACTTATATTAATAAGAAATATTACCATATTTATTAATCCTTTTCAGATAGCCAAATGGCTTCAGGAACACACGTACCGTGTGCTCCGTGTAGGTATGAGTACGTTACAAAAGACGCGAAAAGATGGTGTACGAATTGCGAAGAAGGATTATGTGAAGATTGCAAACACGCTCACAGAAAGAGCAAAACATCAAGAAACCATCAAGTGATTTTAATAGAAAATTATCGCAAAATTGAAAATGTTCTGATCTCGCAGGTCTGTGGGCATCATGGAGAAAACCTGGAGTGGTTCTGTAAAACTCGCGACGAAGTCCTCTGTATGGTTTGTGTCCCGTCAAAACACAAGGCATGTTCTGACTTCATACCAATTAGTGTTGCCTCAAAAAATTCAAGACAATCAACTGCATTATCTGACTTGGAAGAAGCAATTGAGGGAACTCTGCTCAATGTGAAACAATGCATAACGAACCGCGAAACCGCTACAAATAAAATCGAAAAACAAGAATTGGCGATAGAAACAACGATACTTGAAACAAGAACAAAAATAAACAGCCACCTCGATAAGCTGCAGGAAAATTTGCTATTTGAACTAAGATCAACATCTCATACTTGTAAATCAAAATATACGAAATTCCTTCAGAAGCTAGAATTCAAAAGAGAAATGCTTACCAAACTAAGGGAACAAACACAATACATGAAACAATTTTCTTCTGACATACAAGTGTTTGTAGGAACACGTCAAGTGAATCAGCGAATTGTAAGCGAGATATGATCTATCAAGAGTGAAATTGGTGCTAGCAAGGATTATGAATTAAAAGTAGCTATTCATAGCCTGATTGAAAAATTATCAAAGGAAATTGAAGAATTTGGCCAAATAAAAGTATCCGAATGCGCCGTCAAGTTAGATTTCAAAGACCCTAAAATCGACCAAGCTCAAATTGGAATCAACGTCCCAACATCAAGAAACATATCCGACGTAAAACTTCAGCTAATTAAAACATTTCAAATTAAGAGGGAAGATGAAATAGAAATAAGAGGTTGTGTGATATCACCTAATGGTCATTTATTGATTGCAAATGACACAGAAGAAAATCATTTAGTAGAGTACAAAGATACAGGTGAACATATCCGTGACATTCCTGTCTCGGGGAGTCCGTTTGATATCACAATGATAGATTCTAATCGTGTTGTTGTGACATACCCGGACATGAAAATCTTAAAATAATGAATAGCAATACATTTAACGTTGAAAAGAAAATCAGCTTACAGAATAATTGTTATGGAATATCAACAGAGGCGGGGAAACTTTATGTAATAAGTGGAAACTCTACAATACAAATCCTGGATCTATCAGGTGGGCAACTGGAAACATTGAAAGTGGAAACTAATGATGTTTTTTATATCACAACTAGCAGGGACAGGATATTTTACACAGATGTCGACAAGAACATTGTACATTGTTGTAATGTGAAAGGAACCGAGTTATGGCAGTTCAAAAGTGATTCCATTACATGGCCGTGCGGTGTAACAGGAGACAATTACAATAATGTTTACGTTGTAGGTTGTTACTCCGATAATCTAACAATAATACAACAGGATGGAAAAGACAGTAAGACATTACTGACTGAAAGGGATGGACTTGGTGGGCCAACTTCTCTGTACTATGACAAAGAGAAAGGAACCTTATTAATATGTAATGTTCGAGGAAAAGTAGCTTTGTACAAAGTCATTTAAACTTTTCAAATCTTATAGATTCCGGCGTTCTTGACAATTCCGATCTACATACCAAATATGTCATTATGTTACCTTAATACAAGATATTAGTTATTCATTTTGTTATTATTGAAAAGATTTTTACAATTGTTCCTATTCTTTCTAAGGCATCAGCCTCACCAATCATGCAAAAGAAGATGAAACCGTGTTTTCCAATAAATGTATACACAATGAAATAATGTTCCCATTAGTCCTCTTGTCTTTGTTTATAGGCACAAATGAACTGAAAAAAAGCTAGGTTATAGAACAGTTCAGTTAAGTAAGAATAGAACTCATTAATGTCTACACAATTATAGCATTTACGCGACTTTAAATTTTTACATTTAAATTGAATGTCGTAGATACTGTCTTTTTAAACGCTTTCTTTTCTCAGACAATAATCTTATTACAGATTGTATAAGATGTTTTGGTTGGTCCCGGTGGAAACATAAAACAGGATCAAAATTAAAAAAAGTTGTCTGTCAAGTCATTTAAACAATAAAAAAAAAAAACGCAGAACATACGGACAGCGGTTCAACATAATACGTTATGTCGAACAAAGGTTTTATAAAAGTTTAAATGATGGAAACACACAGATCATATGATATATTATATTTATAAGAAAATAATTTTAGAACTTGAAAAAAAATACGTCAAATTATAAAACCTTGATTTGAAGTCAACATTTATTTGGTTTATGTCATGTGAAGACAAATATGTTCATAAGAAAATACATAATCTAATTTTTGATTTAGAATGTGAGAAAAAAACTACACTGACTCCAGACCTCTCTGGTTGTAATTAGTTGTCAAATACCTTAAATACCAAAAAAAAAAAAATGTTTTTTATTAGATGTAATACATTATTAAGTCTATAATAGCAAAGAAGACTGGGTTTTGCAAACGTATCAAAAAATTGGGTCACTGACACTTGACATTGTATATATGACTTCAAGTCTTTTAAAGACCATAATAAATGTTTTTTGTTTTTTTTTATCACTGTAATCAATGAAATCAATGTTTATCATATGTATTTATCATAATTTGTATTAATTATTCTGCTCTTCATGGGCGTCGTAATTGACAAATAAAATTAGTCTTATTCTATTCTTATTCTTATTCTATAAAGATACATCGACTACTTTCAATACGAAAACAATGAGTTGGTTGGTGTACGTGAATAGGACAACAACCTAACGACACAAAAAGAAACTGGGATTTAAAGAGGTTCACATAATGTCTTCATAATTTTACAAATCTGTAAATAGTACCGAATCTAGACAAAAGTGCTCATTAATTGAACAGGGACAACCAAGAAACTGCAATTAACAATATCTTTCCCAAATCACAAGAAAACATTTCAATATACATAAAGACAAACCAATTCTCAGCACAAAATATTAGTAAAAGTAATTGGAAAATGATGATTTAAATTTCGTTCCTACGATTGCCTCATTAAAAACAATTACGACTGATAATGAGATAAGAAACAACAGACTCATTGTGTGTTGAACATTTTGTTCAGGTTTCTTTAATTCCCTTAATAGTTATTCAGCAGTGTAATAGATTAAGAGATTAGATTATATTTTGATGATTCCCAATTTAGTTTATTTGGCAATTTTTTTACCTATTAGTAAGATATAAATATAATAGTTTATACACGAAGAAAAACGATGGTTGAAATCAAAATTAAAACAGAAAAAAAAGAAATAAAATCAACACCCCAATAAAACCCTCATAAACATAAATGTAGCTTGAGAACCTTGAAAGTAACCTAGGGTTCTTATGATGATTTCTAATTTGTGCAAAGATGTTTCACTTGTCAATAACCAAACGAGATACTGTAATGTTTCTGTGGCTACGATAAACTCAAAACCATTCAACCATTCATGACCCTTACAGGAAAAATATATGACATTGAGTCTTCTTTGCATGCGGATGTGTCAATGAAGTTCTTTTTCAATTTAGAAAACAAAAATCATTATTCTTTTACACTAACAGGGACAAATTCTAGGATAGGATGACGTTATTATTCGTAATGGTAAAAATGCTAGACGAAATAATTTATGCCAATATGATTTCTTTCCGAACAAAAGGGTCTCTACATCTCATTTAAATCCACGTTCAATCACTCCTCTAGTGTGACTATGCCGTTGGAAATTAAGTTCTAGGTTATATTTACTAATTTTAAACCATTCTCCTTTTCCGCTAGTGTGCATGTGTATATTGCATCAAAAAACTTTATAAAATACGTCATAGAATTTTCCCATTAGTTTGCTAGCAATTTTTCTAAACGTGAAACTATCAGAAAAGATTCACTGTAAAAAGAATCAAGGTTTGTGTTATACTGTACGAAATTTGCAATATTCGTTTTAAACAGGGATTGATCCAGAGGTAATGAGAAAAGGGGGAGGGTGAGGTAATCCGGCTATCCTCTTATAGCCAAAACTTTGTGTTGTTTGTACATTTTGTCAGATTTCTTGACGTTCGGGCTACTTATTTTTTTGCTAGGATTTCGCCCCTATTTTGAGAAAAATAACTGAAAAAACGTTTTACTTACGAGTCTGAGAATTAAATGAAAACCAGCTATATCATTCAAGAAAAGACTATTAAATGATAAAAACATACAAGAACTTAATCGGTTATATATACAGACATTTGTAATGATTAATATTTAAAAAGTTGTCATGTGTAATTACTTACATTTCTTACCTTATAACATGTTTTTACTATTCCTAACTTAATTAATTGATTGCTACATTCCTAAAGGGCATTGACAAATATTTCGTGCATATTCTTAAAGAACTTATTTTGTTTCAGTATATTTAAAGATAGACGACGTGAACTACTATCAAGGATAATTTTGGTCTTTCTTAGACTGTATTTAAAAGAACAGCTTTATCTTGTGCATTTTTTGGTTTTAATGCTTTCAAAGTGCTGAAATGCTAATTTTGTGGTTCCATACTTCTGGTTACGTGTATATAGATAACTCCGTTATTTGCTATCCTTCTAACCAAAACTTTTCTTGAATTATTTTGAATTACCAGACATGCAGAAACGAAAGACAACTACTTCTAGCTCGGGATGATGGTTTCTTCAAAAGAGCATGAAAAGGTTGTTGTTTTTTTTTACCATGTTTTGATTTTTATTTGAATTGCCTGATTCTTACAAAGACTGGCACTTAGTATCTTTTTAAATTTTAAACGATGGTGCATTTTAATTGAATTTGACCGTTAACTTCCAATAAAAAACACATGTTTTAGATGCAGCTTTAATGATGAAATGTGATAAATGTTTTAAGATATTTTTTGAACGGTACTAGATCTATTTGATTATTTCCTTAAACAACTAGATTGTTTGAATTTATTTATTCATTCTCCATCCAATACTTGCAACGAACGATGACAATATTTGAATTGAGCCTGTTTTTCAACTGCTTTCGTGTACAAATTCCGTAATTAATTTAAAGGTGTTTAGTTTTCGTTATCTTTAAAAGACATTGAACATACTAATTAATTGTTGATATAATTTAAAGTCCTCGGATGTGATGTGTTGAATTAGATTTATCACCGGATGTGTACTTACATGAGCAACACGCGACGGGTGTCCCAGGATCCCTTCCGGAGCACCTGAGATGATGTGGGTCGTGATGCTTAGTCTTTAGTTTTCTATGTTTTGTTTTGTGTGCTGTTGTTTATCTTTTTGTTTTCAATGGCATTATCAGTTTATTAGCGATTGATGAGTTTCAATATCCTTTTTGGTATCTTTTGTATCTTTATTATAAGTGATAATTACCTAGACAGATGTTTGGCTCCTGCAATTTTCTGATTTAACTATTTCAGCTTTTGATAAGATGTTTACCAATGTCTTAGGGATCAGAGCCCTTCTTCGAATGGCATACATTGATTACTTATTGATTGTATGTGTTTAACTCCACTTTCATCACTCTTAATTATATCGGTGTGGCCAGGATTTATTAGTGGAAGAATTTGGAGTGCACAGCGAAAAACGCAAATCTACGGTAGGACAACAGACAATTCTAGTCAATTAAGATCAGAGTCGGTTTTCAAATGAAGCAAAATTCCACAATTCAAACATTCAAAATGCGTTTCCTACATTTTGGAATTTATTCAAAGCTATTTGACAACTACATGTGCAAAGCTCACATGGAATACTAATCTATAAAAGGTACAAAATTTTCTGCACCAAAGCATTTCGACAATTGATAACTCTCCAGTAATGCTCGAGGCCAAACTATTGGAAAATCCAAAACCTAATACAAACGTTGAGGATTACTGTTATTTCTTATCAATGCCTGTCCCTCGTCAGCACCCTGTAATTCAGGGATTGTCGTTGGTTGATGCCTGCCATAGTTCATCTTTGTATTGTTTAACATAAATCAGGCCATTGAGTTTCTCGTTCGAATGATTGTATATTGTGCGATTGGTGGACCTTTTATAGCTTACTTTACATTATTGGTTTTCCTAATTTAATTGTTGAAGGCATTTAGTTGCTGACATCCGCATCCTCTCATGTCTGGTGTTTAGATGTTTCATTGGCAATCTTATCGCATTTCTTTTTTCAGTTAACATTAAGATAGAGTCTAAGTTAATGTTTTTAGTCATCAATAATTTTGTAAATCAGAAATAGAAGCTTAGAGATTACACTTGAAGCAACCTGTTTATTCGATTTTAGCATTTCACTTATAGGTTGATATTTTTTATGCAGTCATCATTTACAAACCATTTTGGTTTTTATATTAAGACATAAACAATTTTGTAAATTTTGATCTAAATGTTAAACAGTAACTTGAACAGAATTTTCCTTCATGATCAAGAAATATCACCTGAAGAAACATAATGTTAGGTTTCTGTATTTTACTGAAGTTAACAATAGCAATTAAAGGAAGCAAGGCGTTATGGTAATTTTTTATAATTTTGTCTTAAATAGTATAAAAGGGATGAAACAAAAAATACAAAACTGACTATTACCCTTTAACCTCCCCGAAAAGTCAGAATGTGCAATGCACCTTACTGGCATCCTCCTCACTAAGCTGGTGATCTGTAAGATATATAAAGCGCCAATAATTGGTCTTTTGCTACAGAGAGGATCTGTTCGTTGGTTTTTAAAACATATGTATATATATGTGTGTGTGTGTGTGTGTGTGTGAGTGTTTATATTTAATCAAAGAAATAGATATTCAGTAAGAATGTTTAAGGCTTTTTTTTCATTTTTTATTTTATTATAAATATTATTATTATTGTTGTCTTTTTTGTGATTCATATATATTCATCGAAATCTGTGGAGCTTCCATTTATATTAAAAGGTATTTTTAAATGTATAATAATATGTATTCTATCGACAATATTTAACCGGTTTGAAATATCGCGCTTTCAAATATTATTCATATCGAGATAACTTCTCTATGACAATAAAAACAACAAACAAAATGAAGAAGGTGTATCTGGACAAATACACAAAATAGCTGGTATCAAATTACAGGTAAACTAGTATTGCGCAGATATTTAATTGCTTAATTATTCCCTTTTCAACTTTCTTATAACTGGTAATAAATATAAATGTTATTTAAATAAACACTTAAAAAGAAAAACTCGAGTAAAGTGTAACATTGTGTGATATTATCAACTTCCTTGTTTCGACATATCTCGTTTCCATAAAAAGTCACAATAATTTCTTTTTTTCCCAAATTCATTATTCATTGTAAGTATCTGTAGAAGCACTTACCTATATTTCACCGATGTTTGATCGCAAAATTCGTGTAAATTCGCTAATAATAACTGTCCTTGTTCTGTGCTGGTGATGAGATAAATGTCCTGGTATTGTGCATCTTTGTCATAATTCTGTGCACCCAAGTCCTTTGTACTATGCCTTTTTTTTTATCATTATCTCTCTATTAAGCATAAATTATACCAATAAGAAGTAAAATAGCAAATATCGAACTCCAATAAAATTCTAAAAGGAAAGTCCCTTATCAAATGGCGAAATCAAAAACTCAAACACATCAAACTAATGCAAAAAAAACCTGTCATAGTCCTGACTTTGGTAAAGGCATTTTCTTATGTAGAAAAAGATTGGATTAAACCTGGTTTAAAAGAATCAAAGGCATAAATGTATTAACATTCAGATTACAATAAACAAAAACATCATCATGACATTAAAAGAAAAAAAGAAAAAAAAAAGAAAATATTGAACACACAACACAACAAATGACATCATGTGTCGCTTGTCCTCAGTTCGATAGACTGTTTTATAAAGGAGCATACATTTTTCACTTGTTGGATAGTCGTTGGATATAGTTTATGTTTTATTTTATATTCAACCACATCTTTGATTTTGATTTTTAAATCATTAAAAAATGTCTTAAATCAATATTCCTTTCACGGAATAAAAAGAAATGGGATTTATCATAAATACTTTTGCACGTGTTACAAAGTCTTTGAGGGTGTGGAATATTTTTTTATTTTCCAGATTCTATAGCAGAGGAAATATACTTAATTTATAGCCCCTAAAATAATTATTTTTATGAAATTTCTCAGTTGTTGGTTATTTTCTTGAAAACAGATTAACAGAAATTTTATAAACAGCTAAAAAGTTCAGCAAAGTAAGATATACCAATAATTCCTCGTCAATTGATCCCTTATAGCAGTTATTTCCCTAAAAAATCTATTTTTATCAAATTTTTAAGTTTTTATCCAGAAACTAAGACAGACAATTTGATTGCAAACACGTTCAGCAGAGTAAGACCTACAAATATTTTTCATTATTTTTTTTAATTTTTAGCAGAAACTTGGAACATTCGAACACAAAATATGTTCAGCAAAGTAAGACCTACAATAAGTCAACAAGACCGAAATCGTCAATTAATCCCATATAGGGGTAATTGCCTTTGATTGATAATATTACATTTATTGTTCAGTTTTTCGCAGAAACTATGATAGCTAGAAAGAAACTTTAAACAACAAAAATGATCAGCAAAGTAAGACCCATACATAATTCATCATAACCCAAATCATCAATTGATCCCTTATAGGAGTTATTGCCTTTGAAAAATTCAGCATGACCCAAATCATCAATTGATCCCTTATAGGAGTTATTGCCTTGAAAGATGATTATACCTATTTGTTTTTAAGGTTTTTGTTAAAGAAACTATGATAGATGCACACATGTTCGGCAAAGTAAGTCCTACAAATCAGGCAAATAACCAAAATTGTCAATTAACTCCCTATATTGTATAGTTATTGCCCTTAAAAAAGATTTTACCATTTTATTATTAAGTTTTTTGCAGAAACTATGGTAGATAGAGAGAACTTTAAAATGACATATTTAAACACACATTTAATCAATATACATTATACAGCAATAATTATCATTTACAAAAACAAAACAAAAAAAAAACAGATGAGCGGACCAAATATGATTTAGATATGAGTAAAAAGAGTATATACATTTTAAAACCTTGATCATGAAATCACTTTGAAAGAGAATAATATGTTCGTAAGTAAATCAGAGTAGTTTTCACTTAATAGATAGTCTTAATACAACAGTAACATTCCTGAATTCGATTTGGAGGCAATGTTTTAACACATTTATTTGTTCCAAGTCTATATTTCCAAAACATATTGTGGATTTCTTGAGTGGGTCTCTCATCTATAATATTGATGTAATCCAAAAGACATTTTTTTCTGGCTCTAGGAATTGCATTAGTGTCTGTTCTGTACACATCTATATACCAAATTTCACGGTAATGTGTATGAATAAGATGAACCAATGACTTAAAAAATGAACAGATGAATTTCTGGCAATTGGTCCGAACACCCAAATAGCTTTTGATAGAGTACATATCTTTAAAAGTTGATTTCAACAGATGACAATAAGTTGTCCTTTTGTGAGAGCAATATGACTAAGAATTTAAATTCATTTACTTATTATATGTGCTTGTTATTAAACATTGTATTCTGTGTCTGTTCATGAAGATGACCAAAAACTATAGTATTACTCTTTTTCCAATCAAATGTGATTTATCGTTTATCACAGTTTGAAATCATTTTTTTAAGATTTCCTTAAAACCTTCGTTTAATTCTGATATTATTAATAAATCATCTGCCAACATTAAACTTCCAATAACGAAATTTTCTAAGGTTATCGATTAGCAATCATTTCCTAAACATAAATCTGGAACATCATTTAAATATATGTTAAAAAGGGTAGGACTTAAAGAATCCTCCTGTCTAACTCCTCTGTTAAAGTAGCCAGTAAACAGTTGTCAATTTGCAGTGCTGATTTTGCCTTGGAACAATGTATAATACATACATTTAATCATATTAATCATCTTATTGTCGACGCCTGAAGATGGAATTTAAGAAAAGCTTTTCCCCACACATAATCAAACACTTCAAATGAAGCATGTAATTACCAAGATGTTTGTCTTTATTTGTTAAAATTTTAAGTACAAACAAACTGTCAGTTACCCTCATCTTAGGTTGAAAACCAAATTTTATTGAATTTGTCTTTCATATAAATCATGATCCTTTTATTTGATACTGTACTAAAATATTTTGCTACACTGTTGAAGAGTGCAATACCTCAATAATTATTGGTATCAAATGGGTCACCACTCTCGAATAAAGGGAAAATATATGAGTTAAGCCAAGTTTTAGGATGTAAGGATAAAATCCTGATGAAAATGTTAAATTGAAAAGGAAAGTAACAGGGTACGCAATAACGGTACCATTTGTTTTTTTTATTATTTCAGCTAATATGAGATGAGAAACACTTGATTAACCAACCTTTAGAGACATAAATTATATACTCGTTTTACCTCTGTTTTTATCATAGGTTTATCAACGATATCATTATATTTGTAAATTATTTACATCTGATAACAGACATCAATCTCTTCTATAAGTGTTTTATTTTTAGGTTCTTTTCAGTCGCCCTAAGATTGAAATAACATAAACGGTGTCAATGTTACTGCTCAAGAAGCGCATTTCGACAATTAATGTCTCCTTGGTGATGCTCGAAACCCAAACTTTATTAAAAATCCTAGACCTAATACAAACGAAGTTTTTCATTAACTTGTTTAGTTTAAAAGTATTGTTGCTAGATGTATTAATATCAATATGGGATATAATTATTAGCTTCATTCAACAATTTTGAAATTTCTTGATTTCTTTTTTTTTTCAGTTTTAGTGTCTAATCGTTTTTTGTAAGATTTTGTCTCAACTGGGGTTATTCCCTTTTTGCACATTTCTTCAATTCTTTGGCTGGAATTATTTTTTCTTAATTGATGATTTATCAAATTGCTAAGATAAAGTGGCAAAAGCTCAAGAAGAATTGAATAATTGATACAAAAAAATACTTCTAGCTCACATTTCGTGGCTGCATTATGTCAGATTAGCAAAATTAAGTCAATATGGTACAAGTTCGAATGTTCTTTAAAATAAGAAATGATGCTAAATCGGTAAGTACAAAGTACCCTATGTATATGTCTACTGGTCATATAGAATAAAACACAAAACATCTAGATACTATAAAAACAAAATGATTCATCATTAAAGGAGGAGGGATTCCAGTAAGATATAAAAAAGGATCAATATACCGATTACAAGCAATTATTTGACACAAGCATTAGTCAAATAAAGGAAGATAATGTTTTAGTTTACTAGATCTCAGAAAAATCATGTAAAAAAAGAAAAAAAGGTAAAGAAGTTAAAAATTATAGCCAGCTTTGAGTCAAATAAGGTCATCTTACTTTTAATAATACAAAATTGAAACATATTTATCAATCCTTTTAGATAGACCAAATGGCTTCAGGAACGCGTGTGCCCTGTGGTCCGTGCATGTATGAAGACGCGACGAAGGACGCGAAAAGATGGTGTTCGAATTGTAAAGAAGGATTATGTGAAGATTGCGAAAAAGTTCACAGAAAAAGCAAAATATCAAGAAAACATAAAGTGATTTCAATAGAGGATTATCGGAAAATTGAAAATGTTTCTATCTCGCAGGTCTGTGAGCAGCATGGAGAAAACCTGGAGTGGTTCTGTAAAACGCACGACGAAGTCCTATGTATGGTGTGTGTCCCGTCAGAACACAAGGCATGTTCTGACATCATATCAATTAATGTTGCTTCAAAAAATGCAAGACAATCAACTGCATTATCTGACCTAGAGGAGGCAATTGAGGGAACTCTGCGCAACGTGAAACAATGTATAATGAATCGCGAATCGGCTACAAAGGACATCGAAAAACAGGAATTGGCAATCAAAACCACGATACGTGAAACGAGAACAAAAATAGATGGCCACCTCGACAATCTGCAGGAAAAATTGCTACGCGACATAAAATCTACATCCTGCACTTGTAGATCAAAATATACGAAATTTCTTCAGAAGCTAAATTCAACAGAAGAAATGCTGACCAAACTAAGGGAACAAACACTACACATGAAACAATTTTCTTCTGATATACAAGTGTTTCTGGGAACACGTCAGGTTAATCAGCAGATTGCTAGCGAGGTGGAATATATCAAGAGTGAAATTGGTGCTACCAAGGATTATGAATTAAAATTAGCTATTCATAGCCTGATCGAAAAAATATCAATTAAGGTTGAAGAATTTGGGCAAATAAAGGTCGTTGAATGCACTGGCAACGTAAATTATAGAGACCAAAAAATGGATCAAGCTCAAATTGGGATCAACGTTCGAAAATCAAAAAACATATCCGACGTGAAACTTCAGCTAATTAAAACATTTCAAATCCAGAGGAAAAATGAAATAGATATTTCAGGTTGTGTCATATTGCCTAACGGTCATTTATTGATTGCAAATAACACACAAGAAAAGTATTTGATAGTGTACAGTGATACCGGTGAACATATCCGTGACATTCCAGTCTCTGCGAGGCCGTTTGATATCACAGTGATAGACTCTAATCGTATTGTTGTGACATACACGGACACGAAATTCATAGAAATAATGAACAGCAATTCTTTCAACGTTGAAAAGAGAATAAAATTGAAGAACAGTTGTTTCGGAATATCAATAGAGGATGGGAGACTTTACATAACACGTGGAAATACAATACATATCCTGGATCTATCAGGAACACAACTGGAAACATTAAAAGTAAAATCTGATAGTGCACTTTATATCACAACTAGCAGAGACAGGATATTTTACACAGATTGCGCCAATAACAGTGTGCATTGCTGTAGTTTGGAAGGAGAAGATGTATGGCAGTTCAACAGTGAGTCGATTGCATGTCCTTACGATGTAGCAGTAGACAATTACAATAATGTGTACGTTGTAGGTTTTAGTTCAAATAATCTTACTATAATACAACAGGATGGGAAAGACAGTAAGACACTATTGACCGAATCGGATGGACTTGATATGCCATCTACTGTGTACTATGGAAAAGAGAAAAGAACCTTACTTATATGTAATGAAAACGGAAAGGTTGTGTTGTACAAAGCTCGGTACAAAGTAATTTAAAAGTTTTCAAATCATATTGCTTCTGGCGTTGTAGACATTGCCTATCTGCATACCACTATTTGTCATTATTTTACTTTAATACAAGATATCGGTTATACATTCTAGATTTTATTGGTAGGATTTGAAACAGTTGTTCAATTTTTTTCTAAAGGTTCAGCCTCATCAATCGGGATGTTACGGAGTTAGCCACTTAATTTATGCACACTGAATAAACTCATCATAGATACCAGGATTGAAATTTTGTATTTGCGCCAGACGCGGGTTTCGTCTACAAAAGACTCATCAGTGACGTTCGAATCAAACAAAGTAAAAAAGGCAAAATAAAGTACGAAGTTGAAGAGCATGGAGGACCAAAAATTCCTAAAAGTTTTGCCAAATACAGCTTTTAAATTTAGTTTCAATAGTTCTATTGTTTATGCAAATATGCACATATGAACTGTGAAAAAAAAAATGTTATATTTTTAAAGCAGTTGGGTCAAGTATGTACAATGCATGTAGTTAGTATCGGCAAATACTTTTATAGCAGGTCCAAAAGTCTCAACAAGTACAATGGACACTATCTAGGGTTCTTATTGATTTTATTCTCACTAGCTGCATATAATTATTATCAAACCCTACAACATATATAACAATAATAAATACACATTACTTAGACAACACATAACAACATAAAACAGAATTATAGACAAAGGGGAATAAATCAAATATATTCAAATGCTACCAGTCCAATTTGAGGATAGCTGAGCTAATCTGCTACTGTCACATACCTACCTTTCCTTGGGCTGACAAGTGTTAATTACATGTAAAAAGTGTGGTTTTCATCTCGCCACATGTATTATTAACCGGCGGCAGTGGCTGCGACGGCGTAAACAATTTGTATGAAGCTTTACATTTCAGATGGTGAAAGACCTGAATGTTTCATACTTTGTATGCAGATGGCTTAAGTTACGAGGTTTCCATCTATCTGTCATACGTCAATTGTCACTGACCTCATTTTCATTATACTGCGACTGCTTGGAAAAATGCATAGTTTTTGGTCATGGGAAATACTGACTTATTATGAGTAACAGGATAACTATATTTTGAATATGGGTCCTTGGAAGGTATACATATCTGTCAGACAGGGTTCACTTGCACGTCATTTTCATTGCTTCTTATTTCATGCTTCAGTGATCAAGGTTAAGTATTTCTGGTCAAGTCTGCATCTCAGGTACTATTATCAAAAGGTCAACTATGTTTTGTGTACGGAATGATTGTAAGGTGCATGCATGGTATATGTCCGAATGGCAGTTTTCTGACCTTTACTTCATATTCATGGTTCATTGGTTAAGTTAAATTTTGAGGTATGATCTATATACAAGATACTATAAACAATAGGGCCACTATATTATATGTATTGGATGATTGTGAATGAGAGGCAAAAGATTCTAAGAGGGATTTGCAAAACAAACTGACAATGTCCTGACAAAAAACGTAAATCGACCAAAAGACAGTATACAAAACACAACAAAGAAAACTAAAGACTGAGCAACACGAAACAAACCAAAGATCTGGGGCTTATTTCAGGTGCTCCGGGAGAGTAATCACATCCTGCTCCACATATTGCACCCGTCGTGTTGTTCGTGTAAGTAAAAACCCGGTGAAAAGTCTTCTTTAGGTAGGTTACATTCACGGAAAAGAGGACGGGATTGTGAAACGACAATTAGAACACATCCGTAGTCTTCTGTGAAAAAGTCAACCAACTCGTATTGCTGTCCGTTAAATTTTCGAAAGAATGATTTCAACTTCATTAATTGTAACTCTTGGTTTAATAGCTTCCTTATAACTCTATATCAAGGAAAGCTAAATAGAAAATGGAAGGTCGGGATTATTGTATCAAGTGGGAGATATTTACTCCTTATGCAGGCGGTGCTGGAACATTGCTACACAAAAATGTAAAGTTCCCAACTAGGAAGCTGACATCATCTCTTTTGTAGTAAAGTTTTGTTCTCAACCGATCCTCATTGTCAATTTTCCAGATGTAGGTCAATATATGAGGAAGGCTTAACGGTATCTGTTGTATCCTTTATTTTAAGTTCGTTGGGATAGATGCGTTCAACATAGTCATCAAACTTAAAATTACTTAGTGAGAGGACGTAATATATATTGCGGAACGTGAAGTTAAAGGATCATGCTAGGTTCTTTTGTTTCTTTCTAAGAAGCTCCTGTATGAAGTCAGCTTCATATGAATAAAGAAAGAAGCCAGCAGAAGAGGAGCACAGTTGTTCTTGTGAGAGTGCCAAATGTTTGTTGAAAAAACATGTCCTCCAAACAAAGATATTGTCAATCAAGAAATCAAGCATTTTGAAATTATTAGTTTCTTAGACTTTTTGTTTGAACCAGAGTGAATTTAACAAATTACTATCTATCTCTACCTAAAACAAGAAGCGTCTATCTACGTTGGTAATTCTTTTTCATGAAATAAAAAAGAAAAAGAGGGACGAAAGATACCAGATGGACAGTCAAACTCAGAGTTCGAAAACAAACTGACAACGCCATGGCCAAAAATAAAAAGACAAACAGACAAATAATAGTACAGATGACACAACATAGAAAACTAAAGACTAAGCAACACGAACCCCACCAAAAACTGGGGGTGATCTCAGGTGCTCCGGAAGGGTAAGCAGATCCTGCTCCACATGTGGCACCCGTCGTGTTGCTTATGTTTTTTCACATCCGGTAAATAGTCTAATTCGGTATGTCACATTCGTGAAAAGGGAAGGGTATTGTACATAAGGAACATATCCGATATCATCTGTGAAACGGTTATTCCAGAACGGTCAACCAATTCGTGATGGTGTCCGAAAATTTACGTATGGATGAAATAAAGAACTCTATTTAGAGTGTCTTATAGTTTGGAGTGGGGAATACATGTGTAAAGTGTAGAAAAGTATAATATTGTGATACTATTGCATGTTGAAAGAGTCTTAAATTGTATGTACATTAACAGATCTTTAGAATTTACATCTGATTCACGGGGCTTCCAGAATAGGTAGTTTCAAAAAAAAACTTGAAGCCCGATTTTAATTGTTGATAAAATTGATGTTAATAAACTGCATGTGTCCAAAGCGCTTTTTCTGGATTCACCTTTTTCAGGAATGCTCATAGAAGAATATTTGAAAGCCAAGAATGTCAAAGAACGCAAGTCTCTTGAAGCATTTTGGGTTTTTACGATCATAAAGAGCTATTGTATTATGTTTTGCTGCGATCATTTGGTTTCGAGTGCATCTTCTAACACAGTCGCTGTGTACAGCCTTTGATATGTGTGTGTGTCTATGTTTGTTGTGTAAATCTTTAATATCTTTAATAAATTTGTGTATATTTTCTTGGCCTTATGCATGCAATTTTACAATGTCTGTTGAAGTACTGTTTATGTTTTGTTCCTCTAATGAGAGTAGATGGGCAGCAATTATGAACTACGGTTTTGTAAATTGGATGGATTAGAGCAATTACACTTAAATAATTTGGAATATTATATAAAAAAAAATTCTAAAAAAATTCTAAAACACAGATAAAAAAATAAAGGAATACATGCCCAAGGCTGTGCTTTTCGAGGTTATTTTTTTTCGGTAACTGCAACTATGCATTCTTTGATGATTTTAAATAAATATTGTTTGTTTTCAATTGTGTTTTGGTTATCTATTTTCCTATCATTATACAAGTAAGGGTTTTTATATAATAATTTAAGAATACACAACAAACGTGACAGAAAAAATATGATCAGCAGATGATGGTCTATCTCATATGTAATTGTCTGAAATATAGGACAATCCACTTGGGACCCTGAAATGTAAATTTGCGTAAGTTACGACTTTTTTAGTTATTATATTGAAAACTAGATAAGAAAGAGAGAAATTTTTATCAGTAAAATGAAGAAAATGCATTTAAGATTTAGTAAAATTATTGAAATGTTCAATTGACCCCTTAAATCCTTTTGGTATCTTTCAACTCTATTTTATAGTAATTTGTGCTATTGACAGACTGTTAATACCTATGTGTGCAGTTCTTACGGTATACGGATATTATAATAGAAAGACAGACAATGTAAAAGCCAAAATGTTCAGCAAAATAAGATATCAAAATAAGCCAACATGACAACATCTTCAATTCAACACGTATAAGGCCTTTTGTCGTTGAGGTTGATTGTTACCTATTTTGGCAGAAACGATAATAAATAGAGAGAAACGGTTATAAGAGCTAATATGTTTTATGCAATTGAAAGGTGATTTTTGCCCCTTTTTTATACAATAAGTTTAACTTTATTACACTATATGGTATGTAGCAATCTACTTATCTCATATCATTTGGTTGTTTCCTAGTGTATCCGTTAATAGATATCCAGGGAGAATGTCTAATAATATACTTATAAATGTATCGGTTAGTCTATGAAAAGATATGTACTATGAAATTAAGAGTGCGGGGCTTACCCCCAACACTTAATATTATAGTATGTACCTTTTCATAGACTATCCAGTTTAGCACATATTAACAACTATATTAATCTTTTAATTGGTCTATTGATAGTTTATTTTCGCTGACTGCTTGTATCACATGTGTTTGTAAAACGGACTTCATTAACTAAGTTTTACGTTTTTGCAAATTTATCACTAGCAACATAGCTATCATATGTGTTCAATTTGTGACCGTGATTTACCAGATCACGAGTTTATAAATGCAGAAAATACGAATTTGGGAAAATAGCGGTTTATAAGTTAATCTCACATAAAAATGAGCTTTCAAAGGCCTTTGACTCCAGAATGAAAAGACAGTAGCTGCTGGTGTAAGTGTACATCCTTCTAAATGTACTTATTTACACAGTAAGATGACAAAATAGACTGACTAAACCAGGCCTATATAATTGCATTGCAGTAGGAGCTTTACATGTTTTGAACAAATTTCAATTTCAAAGTAAAACTAAAGCTATGATAAATTTTAAAAATATAGATATATGCGCCATAGATAATTTAGCGGTTAGGCATTAAGGAGCAATCACAAATAGACCAATTTGAAAGATTATAGTTTTTTTTTCATTTCAAAGTAAAAACTAAGAGCTTTATC